TTAATGAGCAGAAATTCGCCCGTGTATCTGTTATCACTCGTCACTTCAGTCAGTTACATGTATGTAGAAGGATAACTCTTGTTTTTCCTTTTATGTTCGTCACTTCCCTTTCTTGAAATATTCATAACGCATCTATCGTAGCAATGATTTCTGTGTTAAAATTATATTTGGAACCTGTTTAAACATATATTATGCAAAAGCTATATCTGCCTATTGCAAGTCTTTCTTTAGGCTTGAAATGTTTTCTAAATATTAATTAGATATTAATTAACTTATCCAGGCCATAATCGACTCTCGATGGCATCGGATTTCTCCGATATTAAATAAATTAGAACAGTTCAGCCATATTTTGATTTAAGCTAAAAATGGAGGAGCGAGACTTAGCTTCGAACAACCAGTACTGTGGTTGAAATTATTGAACACGTCTTGTCAAACCTTCAAAGGCTAATATCTTCGCTTGCAATAGAGTAATTTGAATGAAATTTTCAAATTATTCATTTTACATTATCTATTTTGGAACTGTTATATAGCAAGAATGGCTAGTTCTTTATCTAAATCTTACATAATGTAGCTTTAACCAGTTCTATCACATTCTGATATACAAGAACATTTTGTTAAAATGTTTTTACTCATTCTCTTTTTCATTATAATACGCCTCGACATGTAAATAACTTAATTTAATCAACCTGTCTATAATATCATATTATAATGTATTGGACGTTAAATTTGTAATAAACAACAACATACGGATTTCATAAACTTCAATCGTTCACTTTCAAAAATAATACATTGCATTTTGAGAATACATTTTTCGAGTATGTGACTTTAAATTAACCTCGAAACTGGTGACCAGGGTAACAAACTCCATTACTAGTAGACATGACAATTTTTTAACGATCACCTACGATTGTTTTCGGGGCGCTACAAGCCATTCATTTTAATCAACTTTTGGGGAAAATAATATAATACTCAGGTCGGGCGGATTTCCCAGATGAAGCGAGGAGGACCACCAAGTTACATTTAGCACATAGCCGAATAGAATTTTGGTTCAGTCAGGAATACACGCGAGTCGAAGAGATTAGTTTCATCAGTTTGTTCAACAGATTTACTACCAACATGTTCATGCAATATGCAGGCATGATCTACATTTCAACAACAAAACTGCTTGTAGTTAATTTCCCTCACGGGATACCCAGGCATGTGCTATACTACAAGATTGTTTACATAAATGAAAGCATGAAGTGCCACAAAGCATGCATGTATATATCGTTTAGAGGTCCATCAAAATGTAGCAAGGGCAATAACTACATATAATACTTTCTGTTTACCATGCGATGAACCATCTTTTTCTGTGTGATATGTCTGTTTAGAAAGATTAAATGGAAGTTGGCATGTTTGCTAATTTTTATTTTTTTAGCTTACTGTGTCGATTGAACACATAATCGTTCATACCTAATACTTAAAGATGTAACTATCATCGAAGACAGATCGTAACATTGGTCAGCTGATCAATGTTAGGTCACTAGTACTCACGGAGTTTGTCAATTAATCATTGTTAATTCACTCGTTAGTACTCACGGAACCGATCAGTTTAATCAATGCTATGAGGGCTGGCTGAAAAATTCTAAGCCTGAACAGAATAGATCAATTGGGTTGAAACAAACTTTACTACGTCAACTACGGAAAACACAACAGACAAATAGGGTCATTTTCGGTCAACTACGGTCACAGCAGGGTCTTGACATCCAACATCACAATAGAGATATTTTGAACATGCTGAACAATTTTAGGTTTAGCTCTTGAAGTCATCAGCCACGTTGGCTGTATTTAGGTAACATATCTTAATTGCACCCAGGAATGCAACTTAAAGGACAATATTGGAAATAAAATGAAATGGGGTTTAACGTCCTACTGTTCTGCTCCTATACTGGGCTAATGAAGACGGGCATACGCCATACAGTGTGCTATGAGGGAAATTTTGCCCGGGCAGCGGCACTATCGCCTACTCTTATATCGAATTCCAACTGCCAAGGGATCTTTTACGTGCATTCCAATGTGTACACGGGACCTCGGTTTTTCGTCTCATCCGAAGGACTAGACAGCTGTCCTTGTCAGGCCCTCCGTCCTGCATCACTGACAAGGGGAAACCACGTCGGAAAATCGGGATGAACTTTCTCGGCCAATGCAGGGATCGAACACCCGACCTCCAGGCTAGCGAGCCAGCGCCTTACCCACCTAGCCACGGACACTATATTGGTGTCAGTCATTATCGCATATGTGATAGAACTAATTAAACACGTTCCAAATATAATTTTAACACAGAGATCATTGCGACGATAACTGAGTAATAATTCCTTCCAAGACCAAAAGTTGTTGTGTGAGACTGCGAGAGGATATCTGACGATTCATAAAAAGAATTGACTGCCACTAGATAAGAGAACACGAAAGAAAAACAGAAAAAGTCCGTGCATTACCATGTTTTTATAAGGTATAGAATGAATATAAACAAGGGAATGTACGGGCCATTTCTATTTTTTCTCGTGTTCTCTTATCTAATGACATTCAATTACTTTATTGAATTGTCAGGTATCTTCTTATAGTCCCATAAAACAACTTTTGGTCTTCGAAGGAATTATTAGTGAGCAGAAATTCGGCCGTGTATCTGATATCACTCGTCACATCAGTCAGTTATATAGAGGGGTGACTCGTGTTTTCCTTTGGCGTTCGTCACTTCCGATTCAGGAAACCTGTATTACTCAGCTATCGTAGCAATGATCTCTGTGTTAAAATTATATTTGGAATGTGTTTAACCAACTGTATCACATATGTGATAATGACTGGCACCAATATCGTCCTTTAACGGCATCGGACACTGTATCGGAAAAGGAACCAAAATGGAGGCGATAAGATTACCGACTCGCGTTTCCGTTTTAAAGGAGAGAAGTCGCTAACTCAATATGATCTAGTCTTAATAATAATAATAAAATAATAAGGGTTCTTATAAAGCGCTAGAGTCCGAACAGTATTATTTACTCAAAGTGCTAACAAAGTTTACAGGAAACAGTTATAAAGATGAACACGGAATCAAGTAAGGAGTTTTTGTTTTTGTTTGAAGATGCTTAAAGATGGAGCAGTCCGTAGATGTAGTGGCAGAGAGTTCCATATATGTGCTGCGTTATAGGCAAATGATCTGCAGCCAAAAGTTTTCAGGTTATACTTTGGAACAGTTAAACACTGTGAATTAAATTACATAGATAGCCTGGTGCTGTGCCATGTATACACTGATAAGTTAGGGTTAGAACTTTAAAGTCTATTCATTGTCGAACAGGGAGCCAGTGAAGAGATTTTAAAAGTGAAGCAACATGACAATCATTTTTGGAGATGGTGACGAATCATGCAGCTGTATTCTGAAGCTTTTGGCAGTGAAGAGATTTTAAAAGTGAACCAACATGACAATCATTTCTGGAGATGGTGACGAATCATGCAGCTGTATTCTGAAGCTTTTGGAGGTGATGAATGTTTTCAGCCAAGATACCAGCCAAGAGGCTGTTGCAGTAGTCTAGCCTGGAGATAACTAATGATCTGGTTATGATTGCGGCAGCGGACTGTGTCAACAGGTGACGGATATTGCGAATATTTCGCAAGTGGAAATAACACTTTCTCACTATTTCTGAGACCTGTCTGTCTTGGACATTGCAAACACGACTTATTGGTCGGTTTAAATCAACATTCATGTTGTTATCTTACCGTGAAAAGATGGTCATCTTATATTTAAGGCAACATGACAATGTTAAAATTGGCACACGAATGGCGTGCCAGAATGCTTTCGCGTGTCATTTGTAATGAAAGGACTTGATGAACGAGGCTAAACATATCCCACCGGTGTAGACTTGAATAACCAGACGCCAAAGACTGCCATTCAGTTTGGACTCTTCGCGTATTTCGCAGAACATAACTGACTAGAAATTACAGTAAAACAGTAACGATTGAATGCAAATCAGTTTATATTTTTATTCCATTATTGTATTTGTTGCGACCCATTTGTGTCCATTTCTAGTTGCCAAAAAATATAGATTTAACCCCTTTAACCATATAAAGGTATGTTTACTTTTTAGACGTCAATAAATACCATATGGTAACTCTAATCCATATTAACTGTACACGTAATACAGGTAATTTATCGACTATTGAGTTAACTAATGAAAACGTAATGCTCACGTACATAAAGGATCTAGTTTATGTAAATATTGAATAAATATTGTATAAGGGTGTAAAATAACAGAATATATAGATATAAATATATGGGAAGTATGTTACGTGTCTACCAAATTTAGGTCTCAGTTTATGTTTTGTCGCATAAATAATTATATATAATTAGTGATAACCAATCTAGATGGAAAAATGTTATTTTATTCTTTAAATAAACATTTACTTCCATTCAATCACTTATCACAGATTTAGCAAAATATTTGTTAGCTAAATTGTCAAGTAAAATACTGCAGTTACAATAAAGTTTCACACCCCACCCCGCCTTTGTTCACCGAATGGAATTCAGATTGTTTATTTGGACAAAAAAGTTCTTCGAGGCATGAGACGATACGGTGTGTGTGTGTTGGTTGTGGGGGTACAAACCTTTCCCAATACAAGCCCACACATACCCGCCAATAATCATATAGCTTTCTATAAAAAGTATTTTATCAATCTATTGAGTCGGGTTTCCAAGATGTATTGCAATCAAACACCCATTAAAAGCTTATAGCATATGCATGTGTGTTAGACCAGAACAAAAATATGAAGATGTTATTTCATTCATATTCACGTACTAGTATTATAGTATTATAAACAAACTAGAAGGAATTTATGTAATGTATAAAACAGTATCTCGGCTAAATTCATAAAATTGTAAATGTATTAACCATTCATTCACGATCCTTTTCACGTGTAATCTCTTGTAGTAGTATGTAAATAAGCATTACCAGACACCACTAACCACGTGGGATGTGTATATATCTACAACAATTGACTCTTCTAAATCCTTTCTCGATAAGCTGTTCATGAGATAAATACCACTCTCTTACGCAAATCGGTATCAATGAAGATCTGAGTAACGACGATGCGACTAGAGTTTGTAAAACGATCGAGTGTTCAATAAATTGTCTAAGTAGAGCGTTTGATGGGTCGAGTACGTCTCCCGAGTTAGAACTAGGTATATTATTATATAAACACTATCTTGTATTCACTGTATAGAACATATCGCTCATGTCAACTCCATTGATTCTATCAACGTGTTTTATATAATCGACAGGCTTTGCAGATGGGTCCCAACATAAAAGAAGAATTCCAATTGAAGAATTTTGGACTGGGCCATAATAAGCCAAAAGAATTTGTTAGTTCTCAGGTAAGCGGTTGTTTTATCTTAGATGAGTGGTATGACATATATATATTCTTCGATATTGACATATTAATATATTGTTTACCCACTGGAATATAAATCCGTTCGACCGAATTCCGCAGTCATGAGAAAAAAATGTTAGTTATATATATATATATATATATATATATGTGTGTGTATTTATATTCCAGTGGGTAAACAATATATTAATACGCCAATATCGAAGAATATTATAATCGAAATATTATAATAAATGAAACGAAATTAAATGGGTTTTAACGTCCTACTTTTCTGCATCAAGACGGGCATACGCAATGCAGTTTGTTGGATGGCCGAATAGTTAGCACGTGCGCGCTGTATCATAAGGCCTGTCATTGAGTGAACTGGCTTGGTTTCGAATTCCCGGTTGTACGTGACAAGGAGTAGAGTCGCCTGTCCAGCCTCGTGGGTTTTCTCCGTTTTCCCCCTCTGCTAAAGACCCTACGCACAAGCGAATTATTGAAATAAAATTAAACCATATGTTAGTCCCGAAATTACCTAGTTTGTGTCGAGTGGACGTTAAACCATCCCCTCTCTCTCTCTCTCTCTCTCTCTCTCTCTGTCTCTCTCTTGTCTTCTCGTACACGTTTAACTTTATATATTTATCTGAATAATTAACAATATTGGTCGTTTTTGAATGTCTGTATTCCATACGCGTACTGTTTTTTTATGTTCTCTTGGAAACTTTGGCAACATTGTATATTATAGGCTATATGCATTCCACCGTCAAATAAAGTTGAAATTATCTTGCGGCAGGTTTGATTAGAGACCCCCAGCGTTTGATTTCATATCATTTAATCAGTTTCACTAACCAGCAAAAAAAAAGACGAAATATCGTTGTTAATGGGTTATTCCGAAAATAACATTATACAATAACAAAAACAGCCAGTTGTAAAAAGCATACTGTGCATGATACAGGGTAGATAACAAGAAATGACTATGAATACTAATTGCCAATGAAAGGCGTTTGGAATTTAGCCAACCGAAAAAAGTAGTAAATATTCTCGATATGTCGAAAAAGATAAATGCTGCTTGTCACACGATGGACTGTTTAAAATGTTTAGTTGGACTATTCATTTGATACTATAAAGGTATGATCGGAATGAATGAAATGGGGTTTAGCGGCAGCGTGCTGTGAGGGATGTTTGCCCGGATTCTAGCCGTATACGTGCACGCCAATGTGTACACGAGACCTCGGTTTTTAAGTCTCATCCGAACGACTATACGTTGTCCCTTGTCAGACTCCCCTTCAAGGGGGTGGGGGGTCCTTCTTGGCCAATACCGGGATCGAACACGGGACCTCCAGGTTAGCGAGCCAACGTCTTACTCACTGAGCCACGGTGCCTCCTATAGTAAACACTCGTAATATTAGCTGATAACGGGGGGGGGGGGGCTTTATCGACCAACACCGGGATTGAAAAGGGAACCTCCAGGTTAGCGAGCCAACGCCTTACTCACTGGACCATCGCGGCTCCTACAGTAAACAGTCGTAATATTAACTAGAAAATTATTATAACATGGAATATACATAAAATGAAATGGGGTTTAACCCCCACCCGAAACAAGCTGTGTCATTACGGGACTAAGACGACCCAAATGTATTTCGATAATCCCGCTGCGCGTAGAAGTGAAAGGACCGGAGGGCACAGAGAAAACACACGAGGTTTGTCATGCGACCTTACTCCTTATCACGTACCAGCTTGGGATCGAAACCATACCACTTGACTCAATGACAGACCTCCTCACCAACATAATAAATGTGTACAATGAAATGAGATATTCTCCAAGTTCAATAAGTCACCTAATATAATGTTTTAAAGGTATTGGCAAAGCTATTTAGTAAAACATGTAAACATGATTAGAACAACACTTAAATTAAGTGCATTGCAAATGTACATGTATTTCATGATTTACTGAACACCTATGTCAACACTTCTAAAATATAACATCAATTTGTATTTTTTTTAAATAATCATTATAAAATAACCGTGTGAAATATCAAATCCTTTAAATATTTTATCTTTGAGTGTTGGCGAATTTGTTTTGACACGAAATGATAACATTTGAGATCTTTATTCTAAAATAGCAATTTTTGTACCCATTCTTAGTTATGGACTTTGCTAATGGATTTTTAAAACATCAGTGATTTTTTGTTTCTGAGTCATGAATGTTAACATCTTTGGGTGAATATACCTATAGCTTAAAGCCCCTCTTTCCTTTAACAGTATATTTTGTATTTGTTTGATATAAATCGCTGAATTATAATTGATTGAAATTTAAAACCAGACCTTGATTACCATTGTGGGTCAGTACAGTCATAGTTGTTCATAAATCACCTAAGCAATATACTTCGAATGCGAACTCATCTAACAGCGCCGTCATATTATGGTTTTATTAGGGGTGGGGAGGGGTGGGGAGTGAAAACGATATGACCACATCGTTTTGTTAATTTACGAGATCGTGAATACATAACCATCGATTCACAAACATATCCAGGGAAATATATTCTTACCAAGAATACCCCAAGGCAAACTTTTTTTGACAATCTATACAGTCATTTTAACATGTTTGCCATTATGACACTCGCAAGATAAAGACCGTTCTTGCTACAATAGTTAAAACAAAAGATAATGCAAATGAATATATTGAAAATTTCATTCAAATTACTTTATTCTGAACGAAGTTATCACTGTTTGACAGTTTTGACAAGATGTGGCATAGATTGTTTATTATCGTAAAAATGGTATTGTTATTCTAGACTTCTCCTCGATTCGCCATTTTTAAATTAAATTATTAAATGGCGACCCTCTTTTAATCCGTTTAAGTCTCGACCACTCAGTGATATAGAGAGTTGATTGATTATAGACTTGTCATGTGAATACATGTCTAAATAATAGTTTATATGAGGCCAAAATAAACGACCCACAGTAATAATAATATAATGAAATTATAGAGCGTCTGAATTCCAGTAACATTACAGCTCACCGGCGATATTACATTTTGAAAAAATGGTAGATGCACAATAAAATAAATGAGTTATGAATGTAATCACGGAAAATTTATTAGAATTAATAAGTTCAGTAGGCAGATTTAGCTCTTGTATGATGCATCTTTAACTTTAAATATAAAGTGGACTTATGATACATTTTGAGTCTATAATTGGATTTTTCCTGGTTATTATAAAAATAATGCTTTTAGATATAAATAAGTGTAGAGGATTGAAAAGAGCATTCAGGTACACCCCATACAAACTATCTTTATGTTAGGAACTATTTTAAGAAATTAATGTTTAAATACGGGTGAACGGGAAACTGAAAAAGGTTTGATTCTGAAAGATCTGTTATAGATAATATAAAAAAAATTCGCTCTAACATTTAGCCTAACCTAAATGTTTATAGGCGCTTACTGGATGATAGATATGTTTAAGAAACCCAGCTTAGACTTCATTACAAATATTTATAAGATTAATCTGCTGTAGAATTAATCGTACTTTGAATACCAAACCGGAAGTGCAGTTCCCTTTGGTAAAGTAGGGTCAAAACTATGTGTTTTTCAGTGTTGGTATTATAGTTAATATTAACGACACTTACGTCTATACCTGTCAATAAAAGTGACAATCTGATAGACGTAGAACACCAACAGAACTCGAGACTATGTGTTTCGTCCTTGCCAGTAACTTTTAAAAATTACACTACGTGGTATGTTACTACCGTTATACTGTTATGCCACTTCCCCAGGTATATTCCTCAAATGACCGTTTAACGGCATGATATTCAGAGAGAAGTGGGATCAAATTGTAAGTTTACATTGTGATGGATCCCAATAAGAATACACATGAGCTATTTACAAATTGTCACCTGGTACAATATGGTTGATCACTAAAACATGTACGTGTCTACTGATGTTTTCGCTTTATCATATTCAAATTTTCATTACAGCGGTTGGCAATGAGAGGTGTCGCGCACGAGGCAAGGTGTGGTTACCATTTCATGAACACCTAGTACCACTTTCCATTAAAACATTTTGCCGAATATGTCCAATTGGACCGTGTAAGCTATTTTTCAATATGGCGATAAACAGGCAGGGTTAGGTGTATGCTTTGTTGGTGCCGTCTGGATAGGATACTTGCTTTATGAATATCAATAATAATACTTACAAATCTTAATATTAGTAACAGTTACGGATGAAAACCAGCCCCGGAACAAATACAATATCGTCTCTGGCTCGAAGGGGATTTTTGTCTATATTTAAGTATTTCAATTGTTAAACCTTTTTGTTAGAAAACCAGCAACAACTCAAAAGCTCGTGTAGGTGTAATGTGCACAAATTCATCTTATTTCATCTTATTTATGTGTAACAAGTGCAGAGATATTCATTAAATGGGATAAAAATGGGGTTTAACGTCAAACTATTGCATAGACTGGGCTGATGAAGATGGGGATATGTGCTACGAGGGAAATTTTGCCCGGACAGCCGTACTACAGCTGACGCTTATTTCGAATTCCAACTGTCAAGGGTTCTTTTACGTGCACGCAAATGTGTACACGGGACATTGATTTCTCGTCCCATCCGTACAAATACATATACTTCCCTTGCCAGGGCCCCTGTCCTACATAACTGACAAGGAGGAACACGCTAGAAAATCCCGATGAACTTTCTCGGTCAACGCCGAGATCGAACACGGGACACCCAGGTTTGCGAACCAATATGTCTTTCTCACTGAGCCATCGCGGCTCCGATTTTAAGAATACATAAATATCTGCCAGATTTCCTGTTCTGGAATGGCAATATATCGACATATTTATTTCTTGTTTTTATAACACATCTTACTGTGTTTATTACTGATTAGATTCGTTTATGTTATTGAAATTGAATCGTTCAACTTAAGGTTTTCAATCGAAGTTCAAGTTTTCTTTATTCACCTTTCCTCCATGTTTAACGAACTCTTTTGATATTTTATTTCTATG